AAGGTGTCTTGAGAGACCTGAATAAAGGGCATGGGATCTGCAGGAGAGGGAGGTCACTTTTGGCTAGGGGACGCCTTCGAGGGAATTGAGGGTTATAGTGAATTAAATGTTGCCCCCTTACCCCCAAAGATGTGTCCACCGCTTAACCTCCAGAACATATACATGTGACTTTATTTGCAAAAAGCGTCTTTGCAGGTGTAACTGAGTTAAGGGTCTTGAGATGGATAGTATCCTGGGTTACCCGAGTGACCCCTGANCCTTGAGATGGATAGTATCCTGGGTTACTTGAGTGACCCCTGAATTCAACAACTGTCCTGATAAGGACAGAAGACAATACAGACAGAGAGGAGTGAGGTAGGGAGAGCGACCCCCTGATGGAGAAGTTGCCTGGAGCAGGGGAGGAGCGCCAGGAAACAGCCCAGCATGATGCCAGCCCGTAGCCAGGGCTCAGCCAGCGAAGCTGCCCTTTCTCTGATCAGGCAGTGAGTTCCCGAGGAGCCGGCCTTCCCGTCTAATTCATTTTTATATCCTAATAACCTTAAGCACATTAGCTCGGAAATAGCATGCGATCAATTACCCGAGTGAATTAATGAGCGCGTGCTAGGTTTGAGGCGTGCGGTAATTGGGTTAGCGGTCGACACTCGGGCAAACCACTCAAGCTCTGAGCCCTGGATCGAGAGATCTGGAGCCGATCCATTTCCTTGCTCGTGTGCCGCGTTTCGAGGGCTTAGGTGAGGTGCTTTGGATGGAAGGAGTGGAGCCCAAACCTCAGTAAATTTCTGAGGTTGGTTTTCAAATTAGAACCATGAAGGGAAAGGCTCCAAACGCGGGGTGCGTGCAGGCTGGAAGGATTAGCTCGTGGCTGGACAGCAGCAGCTCAAATGTGCAAAGTGGCTCTGGTCCACGCACGCCGGGCCCGGCAGGAACAGCTGGGCTCCCTCGCGGCCGGGCACTCGCCAGCTCCCGGGGAGGGAGAGTCTTTCCTAGAACTCGGACGCGATCTAGCGTCTGCCTAGGGCTCCATGAAGCTCCTGGCAGCGTCTGGCCCACGTGGGTGTACCCCAAAACACATTTATCTGATATTGGGGCTTGATGTGCCTCTTTCACATTGTGGTTGGGACTCATTAACTCTCAATAGGGACCAACATTTGAGGGAGGAGTTTCCTCTTTTCTAGCAAAAAAAAAAAAAAGTTTCCTTGGACAGGCCACAGATCCTGGAACTGATTTGCTCTCCTGGCCCAGGACAGCGTGTTGTGTGGGACCCTGAGGCTGGTGAGAAAGGGGACAGACTCAGGAATTCCTGGATGGGAAGGCTTTTCCCTGCGTCGACCACAATTGCAAAAACACTGTTTCATAGCCCAAGGCGGGTCTATATTTGCGTGGAAACTGTTTATATACGGACTTTTATTTTTTTTACTTCAAGATGACCCTAAGAGCCAGACTATTGACAGTGGTAATGAGTTGAAGCAGCTTCTAAATTCCCTGTGCCAGCAGGTTAGGTTTAATTCTGAGACCTTGCTCTTAAAAAGCAAAACGTGTGCTTACCTAGCAACCTCACTGAAGCCCTCGTTTTCGCGGGTGCCAGACACATGTATGAGGTTTGCAGCTAGTTGCCCAGCTCAAGGGCTGCCCCCATCACGGGCCGCACAGTGTGAGTGAAGGGCCTGGAAGGGCGCTGGGAAAGCTGCTTTTAGTAACGGCTGTATTTACGTCCATAACATCACCATGACATTGGCCAGCACGGAGCGGCTCTGAGGCTGAGCGTGCACGGTCCCCGTTCCTNGCCAGCACGGAGCAGCTCTGAGGCTGAGCATGCACGGTCCCCGTTCCTGGATGACCTGTGTGCTTGGAAGCCAGAGGCATCGAGAGGGTTCTTGGCTCCGGGAATCTGGCCCAGTGTTTCTCTCCACTGAGTCATGTCCACTGTTGCACCTGCTTCTTCTGGAGCAAAGCTCGCCCATTNTCGAGAGGGTTTTTGGCTCCGGGAATCTGGCCCAGTGTTTCTCTCCACTGAGTCATGTCCACTGTTGCACCTGCTTCTTCTGGAGCAAAGCTCGCCCATTATCACCATTCCTCTTCAACAGCACGAAACGGCTCTAATCTATGAAATCTGCCTCTTTCCCTTTCTTTCTGTGCCATGAAACAGAATCTCCAGGAGCCTGCGGGGCCGGGGTGGGGGTTGAAAAGTGCCTTCTGAGTCACCGCTTGAGAAGTTCTTTATCGTATTTTTTTTAAAGCGTTTCAAGGTAGCGGAAGCCTTGTAGGGCAAGAAAACGTTTAAGCTGAAGACAATCAGATGGTAAAGGCTTCTGCTTTCGTCTGCCACACGAGAGGTGGCCGCTAGTCATTTCTGAGGCTGTCATCGAGCAGGATGTGGGGCCGGAGAGGCTCTTCCAGCACCGGCAGTGGGACACGCAGAACCACGCACGGCATGTAGCAGAGAAACTTCAGCGGCGGTAACGAACCCACGGTACCGTTTGTATCTTATATAAGCAAGAAGATTCTGATGTAACTATCAGGACACGGGTCCACGCCCCCATAGTTTGTCCTGAACCATGAGCCGTCGCTGTTTAGGCTCCCGAGGGCCCAAGGAACAAGCAAGCGGCCGCAGCAGAGGCGCCCAGGCCGGGGCCGGGGCCGGGCCACCTGCTGCTGCACGTGAGGTCCGACCGGCACACGGCCACACCCATGCATTTACGCGTTGGCTGCGGCCGCTTTCGTGCGCAGGAGCGGAGTGGAGTAGTTGCGACACTGTATGGCCAACGCACCCAACACATTTTCTCTCTGGGTCTTTACAGGAAAAGTCTGCAGACCCCTGGTCTAGACAAATAGTCAGATGAGTCAAGTGTTGGCTAAAGGTCCCACTTGTNCAGCTCGTGATGCCAAAAGAAGGGCTGGGTTGGCTTCGGTTGTTATCATGCACTGTGTAATTTTTAAAAATTTTTACAAGCTAGCACAGCTAAAATTCCTATTCACCTGATTTTGGAGCCGTCATATGGAAAGTGAAACTAGATCCGAATATGTTTTATATNACTTGTGATGCCAAAAGAAGGGCTGGGTTGGCTTCGGTTGTTATCATGCACTGTGTAATTTTTAAAAATTTTTACAAGCTAGCACAGCTAAAATTCCTATTCACCTGATTTTGGAGCCATCATATGGAAAGTGAAACTAGATCCGAATATGTTTTATATGCTACCTGGACTTCTAAAGCATTGCTAGATTGCTTAAATATGCGTAAGTCAATGTCATTTCTCAAAAACATTTACAACGATGCGAATGTTGGTGATCACTAAAGTACGCTGCGTGTGTCTGTGCAAAATTCTGCAATGCTNTGATGTGTGTGTCTGTGCAAAATTCTGCAATGCTCAAAACCATGTGCTGTGGCTATAAATACAGTCCGACTTCAAGTCAGGCTCTTCAGGCCAATTAGTTCCCCAATCTCTGAGTCCGTTTTAGGAGTCACCAGAAAGCTGCCGTTTAAGACACCACACACATTTCTTCGCTGAGCCTTTCGGTGCCAACATGCTGGACCAATCGCGTAGAACATGCCATAAATTATAAGTGTTTTATTTGAATTAATGGGACACTTTCCACAACGGCAGGAGTTCTTACCAGGAGTTCAAAAGCCAGACATGGGCTCTCGGTTATTATTCGTACATTGGAGATGGATCCGATTCTTGCCTTGGTGGCCAGGTTTGGTTGGTTTGGTCAGGAGCTCGGGGCAAGACAAAGAACGAAGCTAAAAGCCCTGCAACCATTACAGCTGCTGTCTCCATGGGTCTGAGTTAAACGACCTACACGAATGCAAGACAGTTGGCCGGACCCTCATGGCACTGACGTGTCAGAGGTGAGCTGAAGGTTCTGAGACGTCCTTGAGGACAGGGCTTATAACTGGTGTTTGTTACAGTGAAGGCTCTTTTCTTAAATATTAGGTAGGTCATAAGCAACAGATGATTATGGGCATTACCAGCAAATGTCAGCTTCACAGATCTGTGACTAACGGCAACAGAAGAGCCGGGCAGGGGACAGGGGCACTGGGCTTCCTCTCTAGGCTCAGGCCACCTGGCGTATGCTTTGTCTCAGATTTAAGTGGTTGGCATCCGGTTCTTTAACTGTGCCTTTTACCTAGACGAATTTATAAAGCTGGGAATAATGACTTAGGGCAGAAACGGTGTGTGAGTGAAAATATCACCAAGAATTTAAACAGGATTTTTGAGACGCAGTAAGAGCTACAACATAGAAACCCATATGATAGATTATCAGAGCTAAACAAACGAAGGCATAGACTATGAAGTTTTTTCCTTTGGTTTCAATTCAAGTATAACAGGATCTCATCACTGAAGAAAAATGCCATCATTCTGTATTTTTATTTAAAAAATTGGTGCTAGTTCTTAAGTGTTTCCTTGCTTAAAAAGCCCAACAGCCAAGGTCTTTCGTTTCGGTATGTCCCATCACAAAATGCTACTTGTAAATTCTATTTTTATTTTATTTTTATTATTTTTTAAATCCTCACCTGAGGACATTTTTTCCCTTGCTTTTCAGAGAGAGTGGAAGGGAGAGAGAAAGATCGATGCGAGAGAGACACATCAATTGGTGGCCTCCTGCACGTGCCCCAACCAGGGCCACGGATGAGCCTGCAACAGAGGTACATGCCCTTGGCTGGAATCGAACCCCGGACCCTTCAGTCCATGGGTTGACCCCTTAGCCACCGAACCAAATTGGCTAGGGCATAAATTCTAATTTTAAAGACACTGTCATTTTTAAAGGAGGGCTCTAGCAGGGCTGGTTTTCGGAAGAGAGGACACACCGTTCTCGTTTAGGAACAGAGAGGTGAGATCTTTATGGGGCAGTTAGAAGAGTTTTTACAATGGGCGCTTCAAACGGTGGCTTCAGGGGCAAGGCTGCGGGGTAAAGGGCCTCCTTAAAGCAAAGCGACGCCGCTCCAGGCCCTGGGACAGGCCGGGCGCGCTCCCGCCCCACCTCGGGGCAGGTTTCCGAGTGACACTCCTGCGTGGGGAGCCAGGCTCTGATTAAGACCTAGCCGGTTAGAGGGTCACTCGGGAGAGGTCCACGGGGTGGGGGACACTTCAAGTTACATTCCACAAAAACATCAGACTGTCAGAGCTCAGCAAGGCTGAGTGTGCGCGGGAGGGAGGGGGCCGAGAACTGAACGAACGCTAGCACATGTCAGCGATAAATCGCTGCTGACACAAACGGAACATGTGCAATTTTTTAAAAAGGTGGTATCGGGTAACGGGCCAGCAGCCATCCCTCTCGGCAGTTCAGGCCCCTTTCTTCTCTCCGCCTTGGCTCTTTGTTGAGTCACTTCCATCAGGCAAAGTTCCATAGGATAAGCCGTTCGAATCTGGTTGTATTTTATCCAACATTTGTTTCCCTGTGGAAATAATAACCACACAAAAATTTTTCGAGTGCCTATAGAAGAATAAGTCTTAATAATTTCTCCTCTATCTGGGCCACATTTTATTCCCTTCTTTATACTATGTGGTCGCCCTCGAAACAGAAGAGAAAAGCACTGGGGAAGAAAAGGCCCCCGGAACTGCATGTCCCTGGATATGTGCTCAGCATCGCCCGGTGGCAGCGCCGTGTCCCCACCCACAGGGCCTGCCACGCGGGGCACGGCAATCAGGTGGGTCGGTCCGGAGGTTAACACGAAGCATTCACTCATCTCCAGAGCGTGCTCCCCAGGGTCCTGCCTCCCTCCCAAGTTGAGTCTAACACACATAACAACATAGAAAACCAGCCTCTCCCAGTGGCTTCTAAAGCCGTTCCCGATCCTGTGTATGGGGCTTTGTGAAACGAAAAAGAGAGTTAAAAATAAGTCAACTTTCTCTCCTTCGGAAGAACCTGTGACCGTACGAGTCACCATGACGCACACCCCGCCGCGACCGCCAGCTCCCGCCCTGACAGCTCTCAGCTGCTCAGTGGGCTCAGGTGCGAAACAGAACAGACGTCACAGGCCCATCTTTTGTCGGTCGTAGGGATGAGGCTGTAGTGGCCTTTGCCTCACAGGTGTGGTCCTAATGGAAGGGTGGGGAACCCGCGAGGACACCACCACTCCCGTCTAGAAACCTAGAGGTCGCCCCAAATCCCCAGGGAAGCTGGAGACGGTGGAGGGTGGTGGGCCGTGGGGCGGGAGGGACATCCGAGTGTCTCCTTTGTTCTGTTACCTGCAGGACTAAAGCGAGTGATTCTCAGAGTAGAGAATTAACTGAAAAGATGATGCACTTTAAGCCGATCCTGATGAATGAGGGACGGGGAGGGGAGGAAGCTACTCACATTCAGGCGTCGGGGAAGGACGTCCCTCCTGGCCCCACAGAGCACAGGCCACCTCTGTCTCCTCAGGGACATGCTCCTTGGCAGCCTGGCCTCTGATAGTCCCTCGAAGGCTCCCCGTGCACGGGGGCGGCTGCTATAGCCCTTCCCCATCCCTTTCCTGCTCTTTTCCAATTTAAGGAAACTCGCAGAGGAAATTGGCAGCAGCCCCCAAATCAAGAGAACAGGGCCAGTTCTTTTACATCCCCAAGTTCTGTGCAAACCCGACATTCAAATGAATGATTATTAACACTTACTGTTAAAACACATCGCCTCTGCTAGTATCATTAAGTGCACATGTTTCGAAGATAAGAATTACGTTCTGTGTTCATTTAACACCCAAAATAATACCAGCCATGATTAATTTACGAGGATGACATTTTCTATTATAAATGAGAAAGCAGACAGTTTTACCAGGAATATTTCCAAAGTTAATGAAAGACTGTGGCAGATGTTCTTTTTCTCGGTTTCTTGTGACCAAAAACACACCCAGGAATGACAGAAAACACCTGTAAGGACAATATTGGTACAGAAGGCTGAGCAACTCACGGTGTTAAATAACAGAGCTCTGTATTCCACACGATGGCATGCATTCCACTGGCTTTGACCTTCCTGTTTCTCGTGGTAAGCTGCCTAAAACTTGTCTTAATTGCTGCAGCCAACAATATTTGTCCTCAGAACCGAGCGCTGGAGAGCTTCCAATGAATCTCTGCCCCAGGTTTTTACCATCTGGAGGCTAATTCAGGCTCTAAACCCTTTGGGTAGACATTAGGTCTCATTTTCTATCCATGTATGCCCAGACCCATTACTGGCATGCAACAAGAGAGAAAAAATAATTTATTCTTTAATTTTCTAAGAAATTTAGTTGTCCTTGGCCATGAGAATAGTCACAGTTTCCAGATCTCAGAAGTTTAGCCTTGCCCAAATATCTTATGAAATTGAATTTTCAAGATAGATGGTTTTCTATGCTGAAAGTAGTCTGGGCTCCAGTTCACATAGCAATGGCCGTGCAGAATACCAGATCAAGAATCAGCTAAGCCACTGACGGACTGCCCTTGGGAACCAAGGGAAGATCCTCTACAGTGCCAGTGCTCCGTCAAAGTTCTGTGCCCTGCAAGGGTGTCAGCAGTGATGCCCAGCCAGCCATGAAGGGTTAAAGCTGGGCACCCAGACCCAGGAAAGGGATGTTGCCAATGTCATGTTATTCCATCCAAAGCTAGATCTGCCCCTTTTGGTCTTTTTTCCTAGGTGATCCTAGAGATATCCACGATTCTCTGATTGAGATCTAACCTAGAGGTTCCCCCGGGGCGAAACGGTCTGAGATAGTAGGAAAAGGCCATGGAGTTTATCTTGACAGGAGCCAGTGGGTTTATCTTGACTTTGGCTGGACCTGACAATCCCCAATGTTTCGGGACCCTCAGACAGATACCTAAACCACAAAGTCAAAGACACTGAGCCTTGTGGAGGATGTTACATTGAAAAATGTTTCCTTTAGGAGCTCAGGAAATGGATGTTTCTTATATTATTTTCCAGTTTTCTATGCCTCAGGTACATTGCCAAGAATCCTACATAAAAGTAATGGGATTTCATACACCTTACCTCTGAGACATGTACTCACCCAAAAAAATATATAAATACAGTGAGAAAAGCTGCACCAAGGAATTCCCTATAAAATACGATGCCTATAACAGGAATAGAAGACAAAATTAATTTTAGGGTGAGAATATTTACAAAAGCTACATATTGTTTTACAGATTATGTTAATGCACGAGGCCCCCTGTATCCTTGGGTTCGCTTTCTGTGGTTTCTGTTACCCACAGTCAAAAATATTAAATGAAAAATTCCAGAAATAAGTCATAAGTTTTCGATTGCACGCTGTCCTGAGTTGAGTGATGAAACCACATATCCCCAGGACATGAATTATCCAGCATATCCATGCTGTATATACTTACTTAGCAGGCATCTCAGTTATCAGATCGACTATTGCGTTATTGCAGTGCTTGTGTTCAGGTCACCTTATTTTACTTAACGATGGCCCCCAAAGCATAAGAGCAGTGGTGCTGGCAATTGGAATATGCCAGGGAGAAGCCATAACATGCTTCCTTCTAAGTGAAAAGGTATGTATGTATAGGAAAATCAGTATATATAGGGTTTGCTACTATCCACGGGTCTTGGAGCATATCCCCTGTGGATAAGGGGGAGCTACTGTATATATTTTTTCTAAATATAGGCACCCTTAAAATGCACATTTGGTAGCATAGTTTAAAAATACTGGAATGACACAGTTACGTTTTCAATGATTTCAAATTCGGTCCGATGTAAGGAAACACTTTCTAATAATTAGAGCTCTCCAAATTATGAGAGCAATCGAAAATGGGACTGAGCTGTCTCCGGAGGCAGAGGGCACTGGGGAGCAGTCACACAAAGTGGAAGAACCTGTCCTGGAGGGTGTCATGGAGGAAACTCAGACTCTGGGCCACACAGACGCTAACAACCTAAGGACTCCTGGGTTTTCTCATAGGCTTGTTGCGGGGGTGGGACACCCGAGTAGAGGAAGGCAAGACTCACCTGCAATGATAGCACTGGTTGTAAAGAAAACGTGGTTAACTGGCACCACCATGGCCGTATTGTAGAGTTTCGTGGCTTGATTCAGGAACCTAGAGCAGAAGGCACTGAGTGGAGCTCTGGCTTTCAGAGATGCTCAGCAATAAGTTAACAATAACATCAAGAAATGCGTGTTCTTTAGCTCCGACTACAAAAGGGGAGGAAGTGCAGTAAGAGGGCATTTCCAATCAGCAGTCATAGCTTATGTGCATCTGATGTATGAGATCAGATGTCAGGTTTTATGGTCTGTTTAAACCAACAACAGTAACAATGAAAAGCAATTAATCATATGCTGAGGCCACAGAAGTTTGAGTTGGAAGCCGTTCAAGCTGCTGGACCGGTATCACGCTGCGGCTGATTCATTACGATAGACCCTCGAATCTGTTAAATATCGTATCTAGGGAATAGTACGGCTATGCATTGACGTGCCACGAGCCAAGAACGGAGATGGAGAAGTGAAGGAATGTTGAACGTTTCAAAAACAATGCTTCGGACTCCAGCTGCAGAGCACATGTGGGGACTCAGCTTCTCGCTCTGGCCACCAGCGTGATTCGGGTTCCCGCACCGCGCTTGCTGCCCAGTCAGGGACCAGAACCTTCTCTAAAGCAGCGCATGGCGCTGACACCGCCTGGGTACTTTCGAAGAGCACTAATGCTCAGGCCCTAGTCCTGAGCAATTGAAAAAATGTTTGTGGGTAGAGCCCAGGTGTGCCTGTGCATAGATATACATGCATGCATGTGTGTGTATATATATGTGTACGTGTATATGTGTAATTAAACCTCCTTGAGTAATTTTAATGGACTGCCAGGGCTGAAAGCCACAGCTCTACAGCTCTAGTGTGTTCACATAGCTCTAGTGTGAAAGGTGCAGGGACTCAAACGAGGGCAATAAGAACGCAGATTACCTTGGATTGTATGTGCCTTTTAAATTCATAAAGCATAGTTTAAAGATAATGATGCTAATCATTAAATTCTAAAAGGAAGCATAGCAGTGCTGATTAATTCAGAAGAAAGAGATGAGACAGAATAGCAAGATTCCAGTATTAGAAACACACTCAGTCTTATAAGGAAATGACTAATGAGACAGTGACAAAACACTGGGTTTCTCCAGTAATTGTCCACACTCCTAGTTCCAGGGCCTACAGCCAACCCATGACAATTAGACTTTACTTCTGGGACCTGAGAAAGGAACTGCTCTCTTCCCGAACTTGGGCTCCGACTTCCTCGCTGGCGCTGGGATGGTGGCTTTGCCTAGTACTTTGGGGTAAACAGAAAACTTTCTGGTTGACTCCAGAGAGCCTAGCAGGCAAGGGCAGACTCATGACGTGAAACAGAGGGGAAGCGACTGGAGCAGATGGCGGGGGAGGGCGGGGGAGCAGGAATTAAAAATGTTCCATGTCACCACTATTAGGCCCCAGGAGAAACATAAAACAATCATTCCACAATCCCTTGGGTACGAAGCAAATTCTGGCCAGAGATACAAAGTTCTGGGGAAAGGATTTCCCTCCGGGCCAAACGTCTGGTTTAGTCCATCCCTGCGCAATTAATGAACATAAGCTAAGACGTGAAGGTGAAGGGTTCATGTATTTCCTATACTTAGAACGAAATCTGGATGTGGACCTGCCCCTTTGATTTATTGCTAATGACAACCTGTGTACGATGCATATTAAGTAGAAGCAGAAGAGCATCGGGAAAGTATCAAAGCGCACTTAGCTGGGTTATGGCTGCACTTTAGAGCTCACAAGATGTGAAGGCAACGCTCAGCAACAGCTTCTCATCGGATGTGAAGGATATCGCAGGGCATGCTAGCCGAGGGGGAGCTGCAGACGCGTCACCCTTCTCGATGGGTTGCATCTAATTTAAATTACCATCTGAAGCCAATAGAGGTCGGTGCTCAGAGAAGCACAGGAATGTTGAAAGATCGGTGAGGATATAGGAGCTAACTTACTTGACTTGGAAAACACAAGATGCTATCATGATGATAAACATTATGTAGAAGATGGGATAAGTTAGCTGCATTTTATCCGTCACAGAAAAAGTGATCATGCCTGAGACAGCTTTTACTGAAATAACAGTCAGTGAGGCTGAAAAACAAAACCAAGAACACAAATAAAATGCATACCTGAGGTAGAATTACAAATCAGTATCTTAAGTTTACATGGCACAGTAGTAAATACCCCAATTATGCTTTAAGCATGAAGACTCCAGCTAACAGTAGCCCCGTTGTTCAAGCTGGGCTGGACTTCAGGTTTGCTTCCATCAGCTCAAGATCTGCTGTGTGACTGACTGCGCTTTTTATTTTTGGAGCAAGAGGCTTATTTTCCAGCCCTAACTGTTGAAAGGACGCTATCGAGTTTATAATTACAATAGATGGGAAAGTAGAACACAATGAAGGGAGGAGACAAGAAAAGTCGGGTTGTCCATGTGACATCTATGGGAAAGTAACTACTAGGCTACACCGAAAAACCCTAAAGCCAGCTAGAGGAGAAGACAGGAAAGTGAAGAGCAAGGGGTGTACTCAGTCTGTGTGTGAACCCTGTTAATACATGCCTAAGAGCTCCATGAACAGTATTTTGGGAAGAAGAAACTAATGGGAAGCAGGACCCTAAATCTAAGATTTACATGAGCATGTCCACTCATGTCCTATGCCAAAGAGGAGCCTGTCCCTTATGGGAATGAACGCATTTTTCTTAGTTTCCAAAGAGCCATGAAGAAAAAGTGACTTGATAAGGTTATATCAAAGTGAAAGCAACGAAGCATCTTCCGGAAACACCATGTTTCTGTAGGAAGAAGAAAGTGTTTTCTTTTTGTCCCAAGGCCCTTGAAATACTGTTACCTATGATTCCATAAATGAGCTGAAACCTACAGAAAAATAGAATTTTTACATAAACTCCCCCTGGCTGGTGTTGCTCAGCGGTTAGAGCACCGGCCCAGGCACCAGAGGGTCTTGGGTTCGATCCCCCGTCATCTTATCGGCAAAGAAGAGGCAAAGGCAGAATTATAAATACATTTAAAAAATTTTTTTCTATAAATCAGAGTTGAAAAGTAGAAACAATGAGAAAGGAATATGATGCTCAAACATTTTCCTTCAACTCTTCCATGATTTAGCATGGCTACGCTAGAAATCAGGAAACAAAATGCAGCCTTACCTAGAAGCGCCACCAGGCTCAGAAGAATCGCAATGTGCTTCATTCCTTTTCTCTTGTGGAAATATAGGAGAATGCAGAAAATTATTATTTCTAAAATCTAGAAATAAAAAAGATAAAGAGAGTAAAGTATCAATTATCCTCTACAAAGTCTTCAGAACGTCACACTCCTGTGGTTTTGCAAGTTATCACCTGAGAGTTGAGGGTGAGGTGACTCGAGTGCCTAAGGACGCTTATAAATGTATGAGAACAATACTTGAAACCCCGGCTGCCCAGACCCGGGGCGCTAACGGCACCTACGGGGAATGGCGCCCCGGTCCCCACTCCAGGCCTGACGCCTGGCGCCTCCGGCCGCCCTCATCCCGCCGTCACCAGGCGCCTCCGGTGCTGAGCGGCCACGACGCCCAGCTTCCCGCCGCGCTCCCGGGGGCCTCAGGTTGCGGCCGCCTTCGGGCCTCTGCACGAACTGTGCTGCCTGGACGCCTCTCTCCCTGACCTTTGCATAATGGCTCCTCCTAGTCGCTCCGCTCTCAGCTTCAATGTCACCTCCTCCGAGAGGTCTTCCCTGACCACTCTGATCTGACAGAGCCACCCAGTCAGCCTGTCGCAACCCCAAGCTCAGGCGGCTACTGTGAGCATTTGCCATCAGGTGTCATAGGTCCTGTTCACGCATTTATGTGCCTCCTGCCCGTCTCCCCCGCTAGCACATCGGCTCTGTGAGGACAGCGGCCTTACCTGCTGTGGCTGCCACTCTGTCTCCAGTGCCGGGTATTGAGTCAGTCGCTCAGTAAGTATTTAGGGAATTAACGAGAAGATTACACCTCCAGTTTATTATGAACAACATGCCAAAAAAACAGACCTAAAGTCTAATAAACGGAAGGTTCGATAAATATTAATTGACTGAATGTCTAAACTTTCCCTTCCTTAGGGAACTCTAGTGTAAGCCTGAGTTGTCAATATTATTTTTGTTTTAAACTTTTCTCATTTTTGAGATCCTTAAGATAACCCGAAGCAACTCTATTTTTTCCCAAGGAGACAGTATCCATGGACTGAACTCATAAATATGAATGTTTACTTTTCTGACATCAGACAAGCAAAAGTACCAACACTAGTGTTTTGGTTTTTCTTAAAAATTACTAGAGCTAGGCACTTCACTACATTCAGGACCGGATTTTACTTATGGAGCCCCCTCTAAGTCAACATAAATTTCTACTGTTTCCATTCAAGGTTCTGGCTGTTGGTTTGTTTTTTCCCCTTAATCCTCTGTGGGCACAGAATGCAGCGGGACCAAATCTTCATTTAAAAACCTTTTCATCTAATATGGAAAATTAGGTCATCCCTTTGCTTTCTTTCCCTGGTAAATTAAAGCAATTATTTTAACTCTTCCTTATAAAACTCGTTTGCCAGGCCTTTGATTTAATCAGGCAGTGCTATGAAAGCTATTAAACTATCTCTTTGCCGCCCCCAAAGCTGCCATCAGACCACTGGGTGCCCCAGCCTTTGCACAACTCATCAGTTGTTAACAGAAATGTCCCAGGTGGCTTGGCCTCCGCTCAAGCACATCTCGCACGTGCCACGGGGACCACCGTACTTGCTGACGGAGAGAAGAGAGCTCCTTCTGCACTAACACACGGAGCACGTCGGCTAAGTCGATTAGGATGCCAATTGTTAATTTTTTTGGCAGGGGGGACGAGGGTCGTTATCGGTCCTGAAAATCACGTATGACTTTCTGTAAATCCACCCCTGAGACTTCAGATGAATAAAACATGAGCTCCTGTCACTTGCAGAAGGACTGCAGTCACCCCGGGTTCTGTCTTGTGGCAAGACGTCACAGAGCTCCCAGGAACAAAATGTTTAAGTGGCATGAATTAATGTTAATTTTTTCTAGCAACAATTCCCCCCGCCCGTGAAAATATCAATGTTAAAGAAGCTGGGACTTCTGCAGGTTGCTGCAACCCACGGACAGGCTGCTTTGCTGCGACCTCAGGGGTCAGAGTGCTCACTGCGTACTCAGCACAGGCTTCACTGTACTAATCCATTGAGTCCTCGCAACCACCTTGGAGCAGGCACTCTTATAATCCCCATTTTACAGATGGCAAACCAAGGCTCAGAGGGGTTATGGAGCTCTGGTAGGCAGACTAACGGCTCCCCAGACGTCCGTGCCCTATTCTCTGGGACTTCTGCATATGTTATTTTACATGGCAAAGGGGCTTTGCAGATGTAAGGTATGGACCTTGAATGGGGAGAGTATCCTGGATGACCCAGGTGGGCCCAATGTAGTTACGGGAGTCTTTAAAAGCCGAGAACCTTCCCAGCTGGTGGCCTCTAGTAGCTGCAAAAGGCAAGGAGACAGAGTCTCCTCTAGAGGCCCCAGAAGCAATGCAGCCCTGCCCACCCCTTGATTTCAGCCCAGTGAGACCGGTGTTGGACTTCTGACCTTCAAAACTGTAAGTGTATAAATTTGTGTTGCTTTAAGCCACTGAGTTTGTGACAGTTTGTGCTGGAAGCAAGAAGAGACGAATTTAGGCGCTGGTACTTGAGGCCTTTGCCGAGTTCCAGAATGTTCCGGATGCGTTTTGGAATTGCTCCGGGCCTTCGGGGTTGGCTCTCTAACCTGGTTAGAGTAGAAGGCACTCACTCTCACCCTGTTGTCAGCGCTTCACGGGCAGTCCATGGGGTGACAGGACGTAAGAGATGTGCAGGATTTCATCTCAGATGCGCCACCTCCAGGACCAAAATCCCGGCCGGCGTGCACCTTGTCTTCTCTCACCAAGCTCTTTCTTGAAAGCCAGGCCTGTGATATGCCTTCCTTGTGTAAAAGACACGAGCTCTGCAAAGCTTCCCTCCAAGGCCACGTCCGGATTGGGACTTGGTCCTGGGCGGTCGGCTTGCATGGATCTGCACAGCCAGGTGCGCGGAGCGTGCGCCCGGAGGCGGACGGCCTGGCCTTGGATTCCGGCTCTGCGCTTAGTGTTTGTGTGACCTTGGCCAAGTTACCGAGCCCCCTCCCTCAGGTTCCCCGTCTGCTAACGGATGGGCTGCTCCTAAAGGACAGGATGTAGTGGGGGCTCGGGGCAGGGGTGCTCCGTGGGTGCTGGCTCCGGCCGGTGCACAAGGTGCCCGAGGGCAGACCTGAGAGGCCTGCACTCAGAGGGCAAGGCGACCGAGCCCCCTGCGAGACCCCGAGGCCTGACAGACCCCGTCCCCCCGCTGCAGGTTCCACACCTGGTGCTGGCTGCCCCAGCAGCTTTGCCAGAAGGGCTGACTCACGAATGGGCTTTGGGTAGAGAGTGACACTGAACAGCAGGCTCGCCCTGCCTCTGCTGATTTAATTTTGTGTGTGTGTGTGTCTGCTGGAGAGAAAAGGAACTGTGCTGATTATTTTGTGTAGGATTCTATGTTCCTAACAGAGGTTTCGGTCTGAACAGTCAGTTGGAAACTATGGGTGGGCAGAGTGGCCCCTCCAGCCTGCCCACGAAGGGAAGGAGCTGAGGCTCGGGGTCTGCGGCCCAGTTAGCAGGCGTCGGTCAGCTGAAGGCCCTTCCCGAAACGGGGCCCGGTCACAGAAGCCTGGGGGTGCAGGACAGTTAGGCCGGCCTCTTCCCTGACGGCTTCTGGTTCTGAACGAGCTAACAGAGAGGGTGGGTTTGTCGGGGGGCCTGTTACACAGCATCGCTCCATGCTCGCCTGACCTTGAAAACCCCCTCGTTTGCTGGTTTGTTGGTTTGTTCTGCTTCTTGACAAGCGCAGGCAGGACTCCCCTCCATGCACACAGGCTGAGGAAGGCCACCCCTCGTTTACTGGCCAGGACACCCCAGGCTTCCCAAACCCTCTTCCTGCCCCCGGGAGGACCTGCCCTGGGCCCGAGCCCGGCTTCGGCTCCGGGAGCCTTAGGGGTAAAACACGCCCGCCTGGTACGGCTAACGCGGGAGACAGCTCATCGCCTTTTCTCTTGCACACCTCTCAGCACCGTCCCCCTGCCGTCTGCCCCTCCGCCAGCAACCTGCTGTTGCCTTGGTCTCAGCGAGAGCTGTTTTGAGGAGAAGATCTACCTTGAATAAAATTCAGTGGAGAAATGTGTCTTCGGGTACCTCCCTTGGGCCTTGGGAGAGAGATTTTGGGGGGAATCTGTTTGTTTGGTTTTACTTTGAGTTGTCCTAAAATACGTTGTTCTGAAATTTGTCAGATTAAATGTTGTGGACATTTTTCCAGTCACAGGTCACCCTCAAGGACAGGATCCCTGGGAAACTGGGCGACTCCTATTGCTGAGTTAGTGTTTCAAATACTTTAATATTGGACAGATATATCTACATTTTAATGAGATATTAATGCTGAGAAGAAAAGACTGTATTAGTTCTCTGACACCTGCACGTACCAGTGGTCCAGATAACACAGCTTCTGCCATAGTAATTAGAATTCTTACCACATACATCAGGAACTGCCAGCCAACAAAGTAATACTGTATTGTTCTTGCCGAGATCGCCTGAGTTATATTTGGAGCAAAGTTCACCAATAAATAGGATCCTGCGAATGCCAATGTCATACCTTTAAATAAAATCGAAAAGACAAAACAAGTTGAAAAGGGGCGTGCAGTCTTTCTGTTGGCTGTAGACGTTACCTATAGACGGAGCATTATTTGTAAAAGGGTGGACAGTCGTCCCTATTAAAATACGAGTCATCAAACCATCCCTAGATAGCATCACACATTCACCTGCCAGCATCGCCTGTCAGGAGGGATATGGGCCAGGAAATGCATGGGGCAGGACATAGCTTCTGATTTTTCTCTGTGGTTCCAGGTGGGTCCTGGTCCATCCAGAGAAACGTTCCCCTAAGATGGGGAAGATCAGAACATGTGCATATGGAGGCGTGAAAACACAACCAAGCTGGCCGTTTCCTGTGGCCAGGAAGCGCAAGATGGCCCTAGAGCTAGGCCGGGATGGCGGAGCCCAGGCGGCGGGGTCGGTCGCCTGCCCATCTGCTCCGCTCTGCACTGACTCACCTAGGGAGCCCTCACACACCCACTCGGCTGATTTTACGCTTTGAAACTCGGGGAAATGAGCGCCTTAATCGTTGCCATTTATTGGAGACCCTTTAGCAGAAATAACAAAGGTGAACGTTGACTTTGCTCTAAGATTTACTTAGTCCAGTTTAGAATCTAGAATCCGAGGCATAGCTGAGTAAAATATCACATAATAAACCTGTAAGGAATGTGTTACTCTCATCACTTTAATGTTACTTAAAATTATGGAGGAATTGGGAGGGCGGTGGTGGCCCTGGATGGAGAGGTAAAGGAAGGATGCTTCCTGTTTATTAATAATTAGCAGCCCGAGAAAAAGTGACACATGGAGCACTTTTCAGGTGGCAGCCTGGAAACGTAATTCAGCCTGCTTCCTCGCTGGGGTCGGCCGCGCTGAGCACCTAACACAACCAGCAGGGCTCCCACCCCAAACGACTCGCTTTGTCCATAAAAATCTCACAGTTCAAAGACACCCATTTCCTATTCTTCTCACCCAAATGATTTAGGATTTTGAACTCTAGTTTCTGAAAACAAAGAGCATTTGATTTTCACACACGCTGAACAATAGCTCTTCAGGTACCGTAGAAGCTATGAAGTTTCATCTGAGTAACAATTTACTCTGTAATGTGTTGTGAAGACAGAAATTATAGATACAATTTTAAAAGCGATTTCTAATGAGATTAAAAAAAATAAAACATTATATGTTCTTGAGCATTGTAATAAAAGGAAAACAATAAAAACCATATATAAGATCTTGGGCAAAATTATTGCCCAGCCTTGTCCTTTCTTTAGGAATAAAAAGATCTTTTATAATTGTTCAATATTAGGTTCCTAGGGAAAGGGGATTTAAAAAAAACAGTTTTGTAAACTTGGTAAAGTAGAATAAAAGCACAACACAATTTAAAAGTCTGACACTTCCAACTTCCTTTTGTGAAATCCAAATTTCTTCTTTATATTGAGCTCCTCTGCCAGTTATTTCTTTATCTCATCGAACTGTATCTAGTGCCATTTACATTTCTTTTTAAAGATTTGCTTTGGAATGGGTAACACATGTATATGGTAAAAAATTCAAAAGCACACGAGGGTGATGAGTGAAGTTAAATCTCTCTTACACCCCGATGGCCTCCCGGTTCCTACTTCCTGAGGTTTTCTTTGCTGGTTATTTCATGCATGTGCATTTGCTGGTGTGTATGAATTCTGGGTTTTTTACACAAATGATATTATACACACTTTTCTGTGCCGTGCTTTATTTCTAATCAACAGAGCATCTTGGGCAACATCACCCTCGTTCAGCCTGCATAGTGTCCCGTTACATGGAGGGAGTGCGGCTCATTTAGCTTAACTTTCCAACAGGGTCCCCATGTCACATCCTGACACAGCCCCTCTGCCCCATTTCACATCTGCTTCCACATTTGTCTACTGTGCCCATTTAAACCAATGCAGATCTTCACTGCATTCAAAACTCCTTAAATAAAATGACTAATAATTCCGAAATTATACCTGCAAAGTACTTTCTCATGTGCATCATTTCGTCTGAGCCTCACCTCACTGTGAGTCCAGTGAGTAACTCTATGGTAGCTGAGGTCATCCATTCTTCCTTCTTAATAGTTTTAATTTCAGCTACGTCTGGCACTTACAAAGGCAGAATGTATGGCTGCTACCTGCTATATGCTTATTTGGTGTCATTTTTTTTCTCTGTGTGATTCACTGTCTCCTTTATAAATCACATGCACATTTTTCATAAGTGTTTAAAGTGTTGAAGNCTCTCTGTGTGATTCTCCTTTATAAATCACATGCACATTTTTCATAAGTGTTTAAAGTGTTGAAGATAGTCATTAGCAGTTAATTAAGAAATTTCCTTAACATTTATTTATATTCCACTTTTTCCTAAAAGGGGCATGAGATACATGAGTTCTTACTATTTTTATTTCAGTAAAGCCACAGAGTTCTGACTTAGAAAACTTGCTCTTTACCTTCTGCTGCTCTCAGGTCAAATCCCCCTGGGAGGCGGTGAGTTGGACACACTTAAATAGCTCCCTTACTGAAAGACCCCCCGAGTCCTTAATGCGTTCGTGTTCACTGTGAATTTCCCACAAGAAGATACGGTTATAATATTTTCTAAACATACTTGGCCATTTCTGTCCGCCTGAAGCGGTGCTTTGCGGGATACTTTCTGCTTTGGGAAGCGCCTGTCGTTTGGCCGGGTGAGCTGCTTGAGTGCAGCCTGTTTCAGGGGCTCCGGCCGCTGGCCCTAGAAACTGGGGCCTGAGCGACGCGTCCGGCGGCTGGAGGGGGCGCAGCCGAGAGTCAGCCTCCTGTGCTCCCGTTCACTGGCACCTCCAGCCTCAGTCCCTCGTCCATGCAGGCCTGGGGTGCATGATCCTCCAGCATAGTCTCCTCAACTGGCATCTGGTCTCCCAGCCCACCTTCCCCTGCGGAAAGCCTGAAATCTCTTTTAATGTGTCCCTACCCACCAGCTCGGTGCTCGCTAGGGTCAACCGTCTATTGTCTAGCTTCTGGAACGTGACTTTATCTTATTCCTGGAAGGCCCAAGAGTCTTCTAATATTCAGCTAACCTGGCTCCAGTGAAGACTGATGTGTGATTCTCTCGGTCCTGGTAATAAGTCTCCTGATCCATGGGGTCTGGCTGTTACTTTTGTGGGACGCCAGGAGTCACAGAACGAACGCCATTTGGGACATTCTTTCCCCTCAGTACAATCTCTCCAGATTCTCAGGCTTAAGGCAAGGAAATCCTGAAGGAGCCCTGGGCTGAGAAGTCTCTATAATGTAGTGAGTACAAATCATTCTACACCTCCCATCAGAAAGCCTGCCATTCTTGAGGCAGCTTTGAAACCCAAAGAGCCAATCTGTCCTCTCACCCAGAAATAACGGCTTGTGTTTGGCCAGATTAGCATCCTAGATATTGGCCCCAAACCAAGCTGACCTCTGGGGTGGGAGGAGATGGTCTTCATCTCACTATTAATCTCCTGACATTCTATCTGGGGAAACAGTTAACAGGTGACTTGAAGTGATTCAGTTACTAGTCTCTGGGGAGAGCTGATGAATTGACTGCAATTTTTATTTTTACGATGATATTATCTGGATTAAATCAGCTAGGATCTCCCAGACTATTAGATACCGTACTTTTGATGACTAAGGAAGAGAGGGGAACATACTATCCTTTTTGGCTGATTAGAGGGGAGAGAAATCTGGTGCTTTTTTTTAAAAGGAAAAAAAAATCATTAAAATAATTTAAAGTTATTAATCCACGAAGAACCAGAACACAGTCCAGAGCTTGTCATTGAGTTAATAATAGTTGGCGATTCCTTTCAGACATAGCTTTTGTGAGGTCATTTTTTGAGGCCAGTGGTGAAAAGCTTCATAGTCACAGAGCAACATTTGGCAATAAATTAGTTCAGCTTGTTCCCACATGGCCCCAAAATCTTCATTTGTTCCATCATGCAAAACAAACTTCCATTTGCTTCAAGCAGGGAAAAACAAGTGATTTTCTTTTGCCCATTTTGACAATTTAATTTTTAGCATGCTTCTATGTTAATCTTTTTTTAATTTTTTAAATGTTACTATTCTTTTCCTTGTATGGTTTTAGTCTCTGTAAAGGAAAAAAAATGCATGTTTTTAAGCTTTTAACCGAAAGAGCCGAATTTTCTCAAGGCAACAGCAACACAGGACAAAAGACAAGACATGTGACCACACAGCCCTGAGTGAGGCTGAAGAAAAACCTTTCCCTAAGTACGAGATGGGTGATTCCCCTCAGATCAAGAAAATCTCACCATATTGCGCTGGAGACGTGGGCATGGTGACTATCTCCTTCCTCACTCTTACGGTCCTAGATTAAAGTCTAGAGCTGATCACTATTAACTATAGTACGCAACAAATGTGTCCGTTACACAGCCCTACTCAGAACGCATCGAGTTCGGAAGGGAAAAAACAAAGAACCCCCCCAGAGCTGCGGGAAGTGTGGCCTGCATCACTACGGTCTGCAGAAATATCGGAATCGAGGTGTCCTCTGATGAACCAGCAGAGTGTGTGGCTGTGGTGGCCGCAGTAATGATGGTAATATTATAGGATAGGCCCGGTACCAAGAGTTTTACATACATGAACTCATTTGGTCCTACAAAGTAGGTAATATTATCTCCATTTCATTAAAGGGGTGTCCCTTTTTTAAAAAAAGAGTTTTTATTGATTTCAGAGAGAGACGGAAACATCAGCGATGGGAGAGAGTCCTGAACCGGGTCAACGCTCAGCCGCTGAGCCATGCTGCGGGCCAGGAACTCTAAATAAAAATTTGAAGAGCAAAATTCTATATTACGTTTGGAGAGCTAAATACAAATCAGGTAGTTAACCGGTACATCTAATTTTTGGGTGTGATTTTCCTTTTTATATAATAGTTTCACGGGACAATTTAACAAATATGTCCTTTGAAGCAGAATTTACTGGATTTTGTCATGCTCTCAATGCTGTAAAATAAGAATTTGCTGTGGTCAACAGTATGGGGAGTGGGCGCAATGAAGATTGAGAGCAGGTGGCAGCTCCAAGATTATATCGGTGTCCGTCATTTGTCCCCAGTTTATAAAGCACCTGTTTTTTATGGATGGTATTGTTTCCCGATCAAGCAGTGCTATAATTATATGCATCGAACAATTACTTACCTAGTAAATCTGAGGTTCTCAAGTTTTCTTTCAGAAACATGACGGAAATAAAGGCACTACCTAGAAAGAAAATGGCCATTAGTGGTGTTTCCGATACAAAAACCTCTATCATGCAACGGTGTTTGAAAGGAGTTAAGCCACCTGTGTCTTAGGCGAGTAGCTGTGTCGTGGTCAGAGACCCCCAGCAGCTGCGGCTGTAAAAACAAGTTCTTTCCCCTCGGGGTTCAGGATACGTGGAAAGTGGCCTGGGTCACAGTGGCCCTAGGACAGTGATTGGGACAGTGTCCCGTTTACAGTGAGGGTTTAATAACTCAATGAGTGCATGGAAAGGAAGGA